CCATTCTTGTTAGGTTGTTTGTTTTGTTTTACTTTACGGTTTCCTTTTTTTTTTTAATAATTTTTTTTTGGCTGAGGGTGGAGATTTGGTTTGTTTGTTTGTTTATTTATTTTTAATGGAGGTACTGGGGATTGAACCCAGGACTTCATGCATGCTAAGCATGCACTCTACCACTTGAGCTATATCCTCCCCTTCCCTTTTCTCTTATCTTATTTTTTTATTGAAGTATAGTTGATTTACAATGTTAATTTTAGGTGTACAGCAAAGCAATTCAATTATACATATACATACATACATATATTTTCAGATTCTTTTCCATTACAACTTATTATAAGAAATTGAACATAGTTCCCTGTGCTATATAGTAGGTCCTTGTTATTTATCTATTTTATGTATAGTAATATGTATCTGTTAATCCCAAACTCCTAATCTATCCCTTCCTCCCCTTCCCCACTGGTAACCACAGTTTGTTTTCTGTGTCTGTGAGTCTATTTGTGGTTAAGACACTGCTTTTTCTAGTTTTGATTCCTGCTTCTATCTTCACCCCTCCCCTATTTGTAGTAACCCTTTTGAGAGTGTCATCCTGTTGTTAAATCCATGGGGGGAAAGTGAGATCCTATTAATATTCAATCAGGCTCCTCTCCCCATTATGGAAATGTAACACCTAAAAGAAGACAGTCAGTTTAGCCAACATACATGTATTTACTACTTGCGTGTAGCATATAGGTATATGCAGAAAGTGAGGTGTAAAAATCTCACTGGTAGTTAGCAGGGTAATAATCCCCAATGCTGTGAAAATTCTTTAACAGATGTATGTACAAAGGGCCTTGGGAACACAGACATGGGCTTTGGGTATGACTTCACACAAAAGATGAGTCTTCAACAAATACTGATACTTACCTTTTTAAGCTGTTTTTATTGGGGTATAACTTACATAGTATAAAGTACACAAGTCTTACTGTATAGTTCATTGAAGTTTTAACAGGTATGTACCCATACAAACACCACCCAGATCAAGAAAACACACCCATCACCCCAGAAGCTTTTCTTGTGCCCCTTCCAAATCAATCACATCCCTTCCCTTCTGCAGTAATCACATTGTGACTTCTGTCTCATAAATTAACTTGACTTTTCTTGAGTTTTATCGAAATAAAACTTTGCGATATTTACTCTTTTACGTCTGGCTTCATTTCTTAAACATTATGTCAGCAAGATTCATTAATGTTGCATTTATCAGAAGCTCCCTTTTACCGAAGTTTTCCATTGGATGAATCCACCATAGTATACACTCTTGATGGATATTTCCAGTATTTAGCTATTGTAAGTAAAGCTTCCGTGGACCTTCTTGTACATTTTTTTTTTTTTGATAAATACTATTCACTCATTTGGGTATATACCTAGATGTCAAATTACTGTGTCGTAAAGTAGGCCTATGTTTAGCTTTTAAGTACTGCCAGAAGCTTTTACAGAACGGTTGGAACCACCTATGCTCCCACCAGTAATGTGTGCCAGTTCTAGTAGTTTTATCCTTTCTAGCACTTAGACACTCCGTTTGGTTCCATTGGTCTGCTTGTTTCTTGTGCTAATACCATACAGTTTTAATTACTGTAACTTTATAGTAAGCCTTGAAATCCGGTAATGCACATCCTCCTACTTCTTTCTTCAAGATTGTCTTGGCTGTTTTAGGTCTTCTGCCTTTCCATATAAACATTAGACTTGTCAATTTCCATCAAAAATTGTTGTGTTGTACTGGACCAGTGTTGAGATATCTGACGAAATAATTCCTGTAACTGGGATAAGTGCTGTAAGGTAAAGTTCACGGGGCCTCCAAGGCTGGCATGATTAACTCTGCCTGTGAAATCACAGAAGGGTCTCTGTAGGGGTTTACATTTGAATTGGATCGTAAGATGTTTAGTGTTACTGCTCTGATTATATTTTTGGGGAAAGAGAATTGAAATAAAGCATCTTGAACATTTAAATTAGGGTATCTTTTCAATTAATCGTAGGCTTCTAATTCTTCATCTGAAGTCAAAGATCTCTTGGAACAGAAAAACAAGTTGATGACAGAAGTGGCTGAACTTCAGAGACAGCTTCAGTTGGAAGTCAAGGTATCAGATTTTTTCCTTAATGCCCTTTTTTTTTCATTTCTATTATGCTTGATAAAGAATATTTTAAGCACCTTGGGATGCTCAAGTGAAGTGGAAATAAGATTTTTTTTTTCCTCGAAAGTAACATTACTCCCAGCACTGAGTACATTCCTGTATATTTAGTTTCTGCTGTCCAAAGAACTTATTTTTAAGTAACCAAAGCATACACAGACTGTTGGCTTTGACACGCTAATAGAAACGCTGTTGGATTCAGGCAGCCTGATCAGAAACTAAATGTGTATGAAACATCTGGACTAAGTAAAAGTAATAGCAGAATGTGATCTAGCTGTGTTGGTGTTTACAGTTCACTAAGTATTTGGTGTTCTTTCTAGTTATGAACTCCTATGCCTTAATTACATAGTTCTGTTAAATTGTTTAATAATATAAGTGCAGGGACATAGAATCCATCATAGATTAGAAGGAGGCTTCTGTGGGGTAACTAACGTACAGTGGAGGTACTTTAAAATCATCCATATTCATATTAGAATCAACAGAACATCAAAGAGGAGAGAGAGAGAATGAAAGCAAACTTAGAAGCGCTCCAAAGCCAACATGACAGTCAGGTGGAAGAGAACGCTGAGCTGCAGCGACGACTGGAGGAGAGTGAAGGGGAGCTGCGGAGACACCTGGAGGAGTAAGTTCGGGCCCAGACATGCCCTGCCTGGGTTCCTGCGCCCAGGGAGCCAGAACCTTTTTGTCCATTTAATACTACCCAGCCTTCCACCTATTTATAGAGGCTGCAGACCCTTCCTTTTCTCTTATTCTCATAAAATTGTAGACCTGGTGACATGTGTAGACTGGTAAGCAGAAGGGTTAACAATCTAAAAATTCTCTGTACACCTTAAAAGATGTTTTGTAAGGTTGCAGCCCTTAGAGTGGATCTCACAGCAGGTGGGTGAGAAGCAGGGAGTACCGAGTGGTGATATCTAAAGACAGATTTCAAGGAGCCTGGGTGCAGTCTTCAGACAGCACTTGTCACATGACCTCCACAGTCTCCCAGGGTCTGGGTTTTGTCTTGCGTGGTGCTGGTCATTGTGACTAGTGCTTATACTTCTTTTGATTCTGCAGAGAAAAAGTCAAGCCCGAGATGGTCCTGCCACTGTGTTGTATTAAACTCTGTGACAAAAGGATTTGAAATCAAAGTCTGAAAATGAACATTGCTATGAAGCCCGGTGGCCATGGCAGACACCTTAGGTGAAAGGTTAAGCAGGAGTGAAATCTGAAGGGAAATTAAAGAAAAGTACGACATTATATAATAAAAGCATTTGATTATCTTTGCCATTTTGATGATGTAGTGTTTGCAATTAAGACGTTCTTAGAGGTTAATTTCAGAAAAGAAGTTGGTAAGAAACAAAATTTAGAGTGCCATAAAGATTTTACAAAATAAAAAGGTAGAATAGTTGTGAGTTTGATTTAGAGTAGAGATTGCTAAACTTTTCCTGTTAGGTAGTAAATGCTTTAGGATTTATGGGCCATATGGTCTTTGTTGGAACTGTTCAGTTCCACCATTGTATTGTGCAAATGACCATAAGCAATACATAAATGAATGAGCATGGCTGTGTTCCAATAAAACTTTATTTACAAAAGCAGGCAGTTGGCCAGACTGGCCCATGGGCCATAATTTGCTGACTCTTCTGATCTAGAGTACTAGGGGTGGGGTCGGGGGGTAGGGTGTGGAGTGGTTTTAGTGAAAACATTTATCAAAAAAGTTGTGCTCGTTGTGCTCTTTCCTTATTCTCTGTGTTTAAATGCTAGTACCTTTTGGTCTCCTTTTAGGGAGGGAATGTCACAGTGTAACCCTTCCCATTACATTGGTTTCAGTTCTCACTTTGTCTTGTTGCACAAATTAGACTGTAGACATGAGTTCTTACCAGTGGCTTTCTGATTTGTGACTTTTTTTTTTTTTGTTTCAGTGCAGAGCAGAGAATGGGAGGCTCCTTGGGGATTTAGATGGCTCTGCTTGACCATCTAAAGGTCTGAAAGCAGACTGGATGAAAATAAGCAGAGCCCAGTCTAATCTCTCTGATGGGCTTCCTTCCTTGCCAGGCTGTTCCAGGTGAAGATGGAACGGGAACAGCACCAGACGGAGATCAGAGATCTCCAGGACCAGCTCTCAGAAATGCATGATGAATTGGACAGTGCTAAGCGATCCGAAGACAGGGAGAAGGGGGCTCTGATTGAGGTAAGTGGGGCGGTGGGGTCAGGTGCCTGGAGAGGATGGGGTGGGTAGGGGAACTGGGAGCCATAGTCTGTTGTGTGCATTTGTTTTACCTGTACCTATGATTGTATTCTGTAAGAACATCATATGCAATAGTTTTTGTTACTATTTTTTTGATTGAAATATAGTCAGTTTACAATGTTGTGTTAACTTCTAGTGTATGTCATAGTTACTCAGTTTTATATATATATATATGAATATATATATATATATACACAAACACACACACATCCCTTGTCATACTCATTTTCATTGTAGGCTATTACAAGGTAGTGAATATAGTTCCCTGTGCTATACAGTAGGACCTTATTTTTTACCTTTTATATGTATAGTAGTTAATATCTGCAAATCCCAAACTCCCACTTTATCTCTCCACCTACCCCCCTTTTCCCCACTGGTAACCATAAGTTTGCTTTCTTTCTGTGAGTCTGTTTCTGTTTTGTAAATAAGTTCACCTCTGTCATTTTTCAAGATTCCACATGTAAGTGCCATCATATGGTATTTTTCTTTCTCTTTCTGGGTTACGTCACTTAGTACAGCAGTTTCTAGGTCCATCCATGTTGCAGTAAGTGGTATTATTTTATTCTTTTTAATGGCTGAGTAGTTTTCTGTCGTATATATATATACCACACTTATGCAGTAGTTTTAAAATGTTGTCTAAGGAAAATTTTCAACCACACAGAAAAGTAGAAAGAATAATGCATTAACTCCCACAGAGTCCCAATTCGTATCCAACAGTTGTCAACATGTTGCCACATACACTTTATTTTTCTTTTGTCCATTCATTCATCTTTTTTCTTTTCCATCCATCTGTCTATTCCTCCTTGCTGAACCATTTCAGAGTCAATTACAGATAACACTATGTCTCACCCCTAAATTCCTCAGCATGCATTTGAAAAATTAGGGAATTTTCTTGCAACCACAATACTATTATCACATCTAAGAAATTAATTTCTGTAGTATATAGAAATTCTCCTCCTTATTCAAAATTTGCCAGTTGTCCCTGAGGTATATTTTATAGTTGTTTCTCCCTCAAGCCAGAATCCAATCAAGAATCCCACATTGCTTTCATTAGTAACACTCTCAGAGTTCATTTATTTTAATATAACCTCCCTTCTTCCTCCATCCCCTACTCCCTGCTCTTTTCCTCCTATCCCACTGATCTTATAAAGAGACCAGATCAGACCCAGTGCCCCACGTTCTGGATTTTCTGATTGTTTCCTTATGGTGTCCATTTACTTGTTCTGCCATTCCCTGTATTTCTAGTAAATTTGAGTTTAGAGCTAAATGCTAATAGAATCAGCTTAAACTTTGAGCAAAAATACTTTGTAAGTAATGCTATTTATGGAAAAACATTTTAAAGTCATTAATATTATGTGAATGCTCCTACAGCACTTTTCACAGATTATGTTTTTCTTTGTTTGAAGATCCCATAAGACAGAAAGTTCCAGGAGGGTAGGGTTGGTAATGGTTGACTCAGCACCATATCCTTGGCAGCTATTCCAGTGCCTGGGACATATAGCCCTCAGGAAATATTTGATGGCTGTATGATGCAGTATGAGTGAGTGAGTGAGTGAGTGAATCTACCTGCAGTATACATAGGCTGCCCATCTGGGTTCTACCCACTATCAGTCTATCCCCTATTGAGTATTTATTATCAATCTGTGATTCAGTGGATAAAGTTGACTCCTTCTTCTGCATTCCTTTGTTCATTATTATGGGTTTTTTCAGAGGCAGTTATCTCTCCTCTGAATTAAGTTACCGTCCTGTTGAGGTGTTAGATACATACATGTGACATGACTGGAGAGCAAGAATAGGTATTGAACGTCTACATTCTTTTTTGGGAATGAGTCTCATTGAGAATCAGAAATGGACAGAACTGCACCCATTTAGATGTTTTGATATTTGCAGTAACATCATCACCTGTATTTTGGGCATAATTTTGAAATTTAGTTCCTTGTAAGCTTTGGTTTGTAGGAACAGCCCAACAAATAAAAGATACACAATGTAGAGCAAAGCCAAACAAACAAACCGAGCGCTTATGAGAAATAAAGGTGACTTGTTAGTATGTAACTCTCACTTCCAGCTGCTTTTCCTCCAAGGGCTTGGGTCTTGTCTTTGTCCCTTTCTTGGGGTTAAAAGCTGCCGTCTGGTAAGTCCCTGGAGCTCCCTGTGTCTCAGCCGTCAGCGGTTTTCTCACCCTCTTCCTTGTTTAGTTTTGAAGTGAGTCCTCAGGAAGGATTTTTGTTCCCGGTCTTTAGCCTCTCTCTTCCCCAGGACTTGGCAGGGCGGGGAGGAGAGCGGAGTGTTTGTGGCCCCGTGGCAGAGGTCTTCTCTTTTTTTTTTTAATTTGCAGGGAGGGAGGTAACTAGGTTTGTTTATTTATTATTAATTTTTTTAACGGAGGTACTAGGGATTGAACCTGGGACCTCATGCATGCTAAGCATGCTCTCTACCACTGAGCTGTACCCTCCCCCCACCCCTCAGTGGTCTTCTCATGGATTCATTTTCACATGGGCAGAGGGGGTCATTTTCTCTCCCTCCCACATGACCATCTCTTTGTCTCTGTTTAGACCTCTTTCTCCTGAGAAAGCCTCAGGTCTGCTTCTTCCCACCTGGTATTTCTCGTTTTACGCAATGATTCTTTAAAAATCACTGCATTTGTGGGTTTGGTTTTTTTTTTTTTTGCTTTTCTTGGCTCCGTGTTTTTCTCCAGGCTCAGGATTACAAAGACATGGTACATTAGGACAGAGCTTTGAAAATAAGTCTATTTATCACTGAAGTGTTATGAAACTCACATAAAATGAAATTTTAAAATGGAGGGTAGTGGTGGAAACACACATATTTTCCTAACACCTTAATAGCTGTTTTTATTTCTGCATTTTCTATTTCCTTCCCTATTTGTTGATAGGTTTCATCTATAATGTAGGTGCAACTATAGTGTCTCTGCAGTTTTGATACCAGTTTTTAAAAGTTAGTATGTCAGAAACATTTTTCCTTATTATACTTTATAGTCTTCATACTTCATTTTTAAGGAGATAATCTACAATATACTTAATCATCCTCCTGTATTTAAGTTTTTTTTTAATTATGAAAAAAGATGGTGAATATTTTTTATATGTATCCTTTTACTTCTTTAGAAAAATTTCCTAAGGGTAGAAATGATGTCACTGAGCAGGTATGGCTTTCGATAAAAATGTAGCTTCATAAACACATTTAAATAGAAGGTAAGACTTTGCCATAGTCTGTGATTCCTTGTGTGGACTATTCACTGATTCTAAAAGAGAAAGGTATTACCTTAGCTGTTGGGAAGCCTCTAAAGTTTTTGTATTTTCCCAGTAACTAAAACCTAAATTGTTAGTTGTCCTTTCCCAGATATTTTCTTATCCATTTAGGTTCTCTATTTTAGTGCACTTGACCTTGCTCTGTTTTGATATCTGTCTCTTTCTTCTCCTAGCCTGCTCATTCAAGATCACATCATCTTTGCTTCTTCCCACATTTCATGCCTAGCACGGTGCCAAGCAGTAGAGCAAATGAATGGATACATTTCAGTATTTAAATTATTTTAAAATGTCACCATTAAAAAAAAAAGGGAGTAATTCTGAAATGAACTGTAGCTTCTTTGCCTCTTTAAACACAGTGTACTGAGCATATATTAATTAAATTAATAGCCTGTTGGCTTGTTTATAGTGGTGAATAGGATATGAGCTTAAGTTTGGGGGTGTGTTTTCAGGCAAAGGCTGATAATGAGAGAAAGAAAAGGGAAAGAGAGCACATCTTTTCTTAAAAATGTTCCACGTGTGGTTTTTTCCCTGGTGATTTGCCTGTTTCCTGTCCTGGGAGCTGTATCCTCTCCTGCTGCCTTTCTGCAAGATAAGTTAGGACAGAGTTAGCGTCTCTGTGCCAAAGTGGGTTTCTTTCCCTCTGGAAAATTGTCCTCACTCTATTTATCAGTTTCCTTTGACGTGTCAGCAACATTTAAAAAATGATCAATGGTTTCTGTATCACTAGTGAAATAGACCCCATCCCCTCATCACTGTCAGTTTATTCTTCATATCTTAACAGAAAGTGGCCTGGGGGAATCTGATAACAGACTGTAGTCGTGGCCAAGTTTTCCATGGCACTTGGCTGAGAACAGACTCTCAAGTACATTCAGTGAGCTTTAAACACTTCTTCTGCCTTTGAGTGTTTGAAAAAGCTTGAAGGCCCTATATTTTGTGAGGCCTGCATAACGCAGAGGATTTTTCATAAAATACCTTTTAATAGTTCACATTCTGTTAAGTCATTTTGGGCCCCAATATGGAGTCAGTAAAGTGACATTAAGAGAGAATAAAATCATTAAAAAAAAAAAAGGAAGGAAGGAAGGAAGAAATGGTAGAAAGTACCCTGTTTTCTTAGGATAAGCCAAATAATTGACCAAGAATAGGATGACTTTGTTATTCTTGATTAAACAATTGATGGTTCTGAATTTCCTGTTTTAAATCAAGATACAGAAAATAGTTGTAGCTCAAGTTTTCAGCCACTTCTCTCCCGTGAATATGTTTCCCTCCATTCTGTGGGTGACGGATAAACATGAGACATTGCCGTAAGTCCTGTGACAGTGGGGTTTTCTAGTTACCAGACATCTCTGGGAGCCTGTAGTGCTGACGGGTGGGCCAGCAGCATCTTGTGGTGCTTTATCCCTGACATTTACCAAGACATAGGTACTGAGAGATGAGTAAAATACTCTGGTTATGAAACCCTACTGGTCTGGGGATAGACTGTGCTCAGAAATGAGGTCTCTAAAATAGTAGGAAGCTTATTTTGTAGTGATGTTACTGAATGTTACACACATTTCATAAAAGAGCAACTGAGAAAATCATGTTTCTCACCATCTGTGTCACACTTTCTAGACTATCCTTCTGGGGGGAAAATGACATAAAATTCTGTCAGCTACAGTTTTGGTATAAAACCTTTTACCTGCCCTTTCAATGAGCATGGGCCAGAGACAGAGACCCTATAGAACTTCTTGGAAGCATTAAGGTCTCAGTGAGTATTTTGGTCTCTTTTTGCCAGGGGCACCTGTGAGTAGGTGGGGTGTGAGGTAAACTGTTCTGTGGGCAGGTAACCTGCTACTCTAGGCACTCTGGTGTCTCTCAGCGCCCCTGCTTTGGGCAATCACTTGCTGCTGCCAGTGACAGCTGCGACCCAGAGCCTACTTCCTTTTCCTCTCCACTTTCCTTCTTGTGTTGCCAGGTTCTGGGCAGGTTTCTTTGCTTTAGTTTAAACATGTGGACCCCTCTCACAGGCCCTCCCAACCAACATAGAGCTCTGTTCATTTGCATCCGAAAGACTGAGCACAGGGAAGCTGCTTGCTCCTTGCCCCCTCTGAGTATGTAGTCCTGCTGTCAGGCTTGCGGAGGCTGGATGGTGAAGAGAACAGCCATTGGTATCCAGTCTGGGTCCCAGTCTTGGCTCTACCACTGATAAGCTGGGTGATCTTAGGCGTGTTACAATCTCAGAGCTTCCAGGTTTGTTGATGTTGTTGTTGAATTTATGAATGAAAATAATAATACTCTTCTCCTAGAGTTGTTGGAAATGCTTAGCGTAATTCTTATTATGCAGTAAGTAGCAAATACAATCAATTTTTTAGCCTCCCCCTGGGAACCCCCCTCCCACCCCATGCATATACATCCTCGCTAGGTCTTCAGCTCCTGCACACCTTGTCTGTGTGCAGCCAGCCTGGAGGCGGCTGTAGGCTTCAAAAGCGCTGATTCTGAGCGGCCAGAGTTTTCCTTTGTTTTCTTTGATTGGGGCCTGTGGAGAGGCATGTGCCTCTCTAATGGATGTTCACTTGTATTTTGAGGTTTCTAGATTTTCTCTGACTTCTTTGGCTTGATGTAATTGGCAGTAAGGCCACCGAGGTGATGAAATGAAGTTTTTGAAATGTCCCGTGCCTTTTGGTCTCTACCCTGGAAAGCTTCAGGTGCTACGCAGTGACATGGTGAGGTGTGATCTGATTGGATTTGTGCCTCAGAGTCCACTTAGCAGCAGCCGCAGCCGCAGATAACAGCGTGTCGGTGTAAAGTGGGCCGTGGAAACCTAGGCTCTTGACATGCATTGGCGGCAGCACACAAAAGGCAACACAAAACACAGGTATATCCTGGAAGAGATCAGTGTGGGAAGAGGAACCGCCTTATCGTCGTAACAGTTGAGAAATGTGTGAGAGTAAGAGCAGGAGATGGGGGTAGGCTCGCAAGGGCTGCTGTGGAAGGAGGACCTGGAGGGGTAGCCAATAGCAACAGTGACGGGGGGGCGGTCCTCTAATACTCCCTAAGGAGGGGCTGGAGGGCTTCTCCTCTGGGTAAATATCAGGATGGAGTCTGTTCCCATAAAGTTTGCTTATGTGTTCTGTGTTCTGTGTTTGGTTCTTTGAAAGAGCCAGGGTTGCCCTAGTTCCCTGGACGAATCTCTGGGAGTTTGGTCTGAGCTTGTTAATGCTGCTAGCTAGATTCCTGAAGGACTCAGTCTTTGTCCATGCAGTGCAGCTCTGCCCTGGGATTTCAGAGGCTCCCCGGTTTAATAGATGTGCCTGCCCTAGAGAAAAGGAAAGAGATCCCACTGTCAGTTATTCTTAAGTTCACCCCCTCATCAGTGACCCAGTTCTTGAACGGAAAGCGGTTTATCATCTCTGAGGCCTCAGGTCCCAGGTGGCAGCTGTTCCTTCATTTCCCCAGAAGCTCCAAGAGGACAGGATGTGTACTTACTCAGAAGCCACCAGGGAGAGAATAGACTGGGTTAGAACTCTCACACATCCGGACTCCTGTTGTCCTGCAGGTGCTAATGTATTTATGTCCAGAACTGGCCTGCTCCCAGGATCACTGATCCATGCATCAAAGCTATAATAAATCAGATATGTGTCATCCTTCCAAGGAGCTGATAGTCTAGCAGGGGAGATAAAATAAAACCTAGGTATGTGGACTGCAACGTACAGGTATTAAATGCTGTGAGAAGTACAACTAAAGTGGGATGGGTCTTCAGGAAGGGGATTCATGGAAGATTTCTTGGAGGAGGACATATAGTGAGTCTTCCGGGGTTTTCTGAAAGGCAGAGAGGGATGGGACTGGGAGGGATGAGGGGCACCCAGACAGGATGCTGTGTGGATGATGGTGTAGAGGCGACAGGTAAGAGACTGGAGATGGGGAGCCATTGGGTAGCTCTTGCTACCCACTTGCCACTTGGGCAGGAGGTGATGAGACCCTAAACCAGGAAGGTGAGGGAGAGGACCTGAGATGTTACAGAACTAACTTTTGGGTTGTGAGGGGTAAGGACGAGAGAGATCAATGTTGCGGCCAGGCTCTTGAGCTTGCGTGCTGCAGAGCAGGTGCTGCCTTCGCAAGAATGATGGACAGAAGAAGTGGAGAGGAAGGGACATGATGAATTCACTGAGAAGCGTAAGCCTACTGAGGGACCTCCAGGTGGATGTGGTTTGCAGGTCCAAACTCAGATAAGGGTTGGAGGTAAAGGTTTGGGAGTTATTTATTTCGAATTAATAGTTGGGGAAAAAAGTAGATGAACTCGCCAAAAAAAGAAAAATGAAGAATGCGAAGTCGCATTCTTGGGGATCATCTTAGCTTTGGAGAAGAAGGAGAGAAAAGCCAGAAAAGATTGTTGCAGAAAAAGTGGCCTGAGGGAAGGAAAACAGGAGAGTGTAGTGTCTTCGAGCTGCAAGGCAGAGAAGAATATTAAGGATACAGGTGGAGAAGATCAGAGAGAGGCCATGAAAGGTGAGGACTGAGAAAAGGCCATGGCATGTGGCGATTAAGAGGTCACTGTGACCTTGGAGGGGAGACAGTCTTAGTAGAGGGGGGAGCAAAAGCCATTTGCAAGAGATTGAGGAGTGACCAGGTGGTCAAGTCAGTGAATAGAAATCAATCTTCCAAAAAGTTTGGTGGTAAAGCTTTTTTTTTTTTGGTTTTGTTTTGGTTTTGTTTTTTTGTTTGTTTTTTTGCCCTTGACTCAGAGGATTCTTGTGCCGTGAGGGAAATGACAGAGATTCAAGGAAATAGAACAAAATGACAGAAAGAAAAGATAACTAATGTAGTAAAGACCTGGAGCAGGCTGGCGGGGAGCAGACAGCTCATTGTCCAGGGGCTTTGGGTGGGGGGAAGCCTGGAGTGCAGAGGGGAGCCAGGTGTCAGGCTGAGTCCCTGCTGAGTGGGAGGTAGGGGCGTCTGCGGGAGAGGGTGAGCCCAAGCTTGAGGGGAGCTAAGCGGGTCTGGCATGGAGATGGTGACATGAAAGGAGTGCCCAGCCTTGGCAGACACACTTGGGTTTAGGTGATGCGATTTGTGGTGGGACTTGCCCCCCCCCCCATGTTGTGACTTCGCTTAACAACAGTGAGGTTCACGAGGCAGTGAGGGAGGAGAATGTGTGATGGTTGTCCCTGCTCACGGTGGGGCAGAGTCTCCCCTGAAGACTAGGGTCTTGGGTTCGGGGTTTGACCACACGCAGGGTTTGGGGTGAAGTAAGCAAGACCAGCAAGTCCCCCGTGAAGCAGCGGCTCATAAAGGCCACCAGCAGAGGTGACAGAGCATTGCACCGACGTGAAGTGGGGTGGGAAAAACAGACCTGGCCCCTCAGAGCACTGAAAGTGAGATCAGTTTCCCTTTTCTCCCTCAAATTAAATCAACTGTTGGAAAAGCTGAGGTAGTCAAATCAAGGGGAATATGGCCTCTGAGGAGGAAAAGGGGAGAGGCTACAAGGGTCTCAGCCGGTGTCTTTGCGAGGACAGTGGTTGTTGGGGGACAGGCGAGGGAGTGGCCGTCCCTGCGGGTGGCCGAGGTCGAGGTGCAGGGCCACGAGACATCTGTTGCATCTTCACCTCCGCTGTGTTCCTTCTCTAGGAGCTCTTACAGGCAAAGCAGGACCTTCAAGATCTGCTCATCACCAAAGAGGAGCAGGAAGACCTCTTGAGAAAGCGAGAGCGTGAACTCACTGCCCTGAAGGGAGCCCTGAAAGAGGAGGTGTCCAGCCACGACCAGGAGATGGACAAGCTGAAGGAACAGTACGACGCGGAGCTGCAGGCCCTGAGGGAGAGCGTGGAGGAGGCCACCAAGGTGAGTCGGGAGGGGTGGGGGAGGGGCGGGAGCATCTGGCTTGGGTGCAGGGGATGGGCAGGACCACCTCTTCCACACCAGGGCCAGTTGTTTACCTTCCTCTTCATGACAGAGTGAAACTCAGTTTCACCAGGTCATTGATCCAGACCTTGTTCACAAAGGGTAAGCTCAGCAGTTCTGCTGTTGACCATTTTAAGTCGATAAACTTAAAGGTTGTTAAGGACACTGGTTAAAAGCTCTTGCACGCGGTGAGTCTTAGAGGCCCAGGAGTGAGCCCCTCCAGGATTCCTAAAGGTCAGAGGCCTAGAGCTTTGTGTGACTTTGCTAATGGGGCTGGATGGTAGACAGGACCCAGATTTCTGGAATCCTTCACCCTGGCCTCTGCTTGTTCGTTCTAACTTGTGAAGCCTTTTGTTAGATAATTCAGATGCTTTTCTCAGCAAAATTACAAGAGGGTTAATGGGCTGAATTGCCCAAACCCTTGCAAGATAATTTTTCTCTTAATTGAATTCTTGGCTCCTACAAATAGATTCTAAATTATGTTGAATCCTTTGGTGTGGGGCTTGGGCTGTTGAAGAAGAGAAAAGCAGTGTTTTGAAGGGAAAAATGTTTGTAATACCATGCCATCTTTAGGGAAAGAGGGGAATTACAGAGTATAAATTTTTTAGAGTCTCTGCAATATATAGGTTAAAGATGATGAAGAAAGAACTTTCGATATTGTTTGTTTATCCTGTGATGATTACAGTGACAGCTCAGAGCCGGCAGGCCCTCTCTCCCGCATGCTCCGCGGTGATTCACTGTTTTTCAATTATGGCATGGTAATTGCAAATGACAAGAAGTGAAAGATGGGTTTGTTTGTTACAACAATAAAATGTCTGGGAAATAGTCTCTTTGAGGTTATTATAACTGAGACAGTTTTATAAAGAAAAGCCTCTTGTTGATTTGCCTATCTTAGCCTTTTTGAGATTTGGTTTAGTTTTAGGGAGGAAAGTGAAATGGGTGTAATTTTCATTGCTTTGCAGGGACATGTCTGTTTTTTCCATCTAATTTCCCTTCTGTGCAACAGCTTGGCGTCCCTGCTATTGCCCTTGATGTGCCGTTGCCTCATGGGGGACATGCCTACAGGGTACTGAGTAAAGTGATTCTCCTTTGGACCCATCATGTCTTTATCACCTTCAGACCTTACGTCAAAGCTTGAGTTAACATGGCTTATTCATTGAAGGGTAGTTGAGAATGGTGTTTGGCGTGTTTATAGTGATTTGACTGTGAGGAAAATTAAACTTAGGACATACATGGGATGCAGGATATTTTATAGGAAGCTTTAGGTCCTCTGCTGTCTCATGTTAAAAGCAGGAAAGGGAACCATGGTAGGCAAGAGAGAGTCTTTGTTACATGAAATTGAGATAATCTGTAAAGACTTAAGCTGCTGCATTTTGAGATCTCCTGACTTTTAAGCATTGCTTCAAATTAAAGAATCACAAAGACCAGGCACAAACCATCTGCAGGTGAACAGCATGTGACCTTTGTCCCTTTGTCCCTGTCCCTAGAACAGGGTCTGATGCAAAGTCACATCTGTGCAGTGTCTGATGAAAGTAAAGAGAGAACCAGTTCCTCTCTGAACTGGGTTTTCAGTCCCTGCTGTGTGGTTCCTGTTGGATTTTCTCCAGTGATGATGTGGGAGGTCTTTTAGGAAGCTCTGCTATTACTCTGTGAATTTCTCTGCCTTGCTTTCGTGTTTCCTTGCAGTTTCTTAAACAGGATCATGATTGTGTTTTTACACCTTGTTAGCTATTGCTTCTGAAGGTGTTTGCTGAACAAATGTGACAGAATCATATTTAATGGGAAAAAATTTTGTCACTGTAGTGGACAGATGCTGCCTTTCTGGTGCATTATTTATTTATGTGGGTATTATATAGTAGAATTTTAGGAGTATTATGTTAACTGCTTGGAGGAGAGTGAATTAAGTATAATTTTTTAATTTAGTAAACAGTTTTTCTTAATTTGTTCACTGGCCTTTAACCTTTTCCTGCCCCAGTGGAAGGACTCACCCAGCATTGTGACTAAAAGCTGACATTTCTTTAAGGAACTACATTATATTCAAAAGTTTATTTCCTCGGTAAGCCTTGGCGGCTCAACCTCCTGGCATCAGTTTTTCTAATTTTTGCCACTGCCCCAGGCCAGAAATCCCTAAAGTGCTGTTTTATCACCGTCAGATAAGAAGTATTTCATCCTGGCCTGAGCTTGAGCCCTAAAAGTTTTAAGTTACTAGAACATTTGGTGAAAAGTATCAGATTATTTTAAGAATATTTTATAAGTATTCCAAACGGATACTCTGTAAAAATGATTTTTGTAGACCCAGACTGCCTCAGCTTTTTAAGACCAGATTGATTGCTCCACAGAGGAGAACTGATGAGCCCTGTGATGGGGTGGGGGGGACGGTCCCTGTGCAGCAGAGTGAACGCATGACAGTGGTGGTCTGCTGCGTTTGGGGAGCTGCTTCAGTTCCCTCCCCACAGAGACACGGCTCCTCACTGTCTGCCTGTCACACATTCTTCTAGAGGACTGTTGGGGACTTTTACTCATTATTTCGTAGCATAATTTCCCCCGATGTTACATCCTTTTAATACATGCTCTGCAGTTTTGAAAAGGAAATGTCCTCTTTCTCCTTGGGTTTGTGGCAGTGGCTGGAATGCATGTGGAGAAATGGATAGTCAACAGGGATGTGAACGACTGTCATCTGGAAGTGAAATGAAGACTGTCCACAGCTATCATCCCTACCCTTTCCCGTCTCCCACTTTTGTGCAAAAGAGAGATGTAGATAGTGTTCAGTGTTTTCAGATTTCTCAGCATCGGCTCAGCTCGAATTCCAGCTCCTCCAAGAACTTCCCTGGTTGCTTCCTGGACCTTACAGTTTCCATGGACCTGGTATTGCTGGAAATTTTGTTCTTGGTTTTATCTTCCCTGTCATGCCAAGGACTGTGAGTCATCATTTTCCACTCAGCATCTCCAGTGTGCTTGGCGCTTAATAGGTGTTCGGTAAACATGTGTGGTAGAGGAATGAGTAGACAAAGGGGAGATGCCTTTGAGTCTTGACAGTCCCATTAGAATGTTTCAGGGTCTCGTTGATAAATTAAAATTGTTTTTGGTGAAAATGCACGAATCTTGCTTGTTGAGAAAGATATAATGTTATTATTGATCTTGGAAGGACTGAAATTGAGTCCAAAAGCTGCAGGTATTTTGAGGATGTTAAGAGAGCCACTTTTGTTTTTGTGTTGGGTAATAGGACTTCTGGGTCATTAGGCACTTTCAGGGTGTCAGCATGTAGCAGTTAGCAACAGATAGCTCTTGAATGAGTGGGTGGAGGGGAAGAGGAGGATGAAGTTGGGTAAGATACTCTTACTGTCCTTCACTCCTCCATTTATATTATTTTTATGTACAGCATTTACAGATTTACTTACTGAACAATTGCCAAGTGCAGGGTACTGTGCTAAGTTCTTCAAGGGTTATGAAGATAAATCAGATAAATCTACCTTGCAGAAGACTGGAAGGAAGACACCTAATACTCAGACTGTTTGCAGAGAAGGATAAAGTAAATGCCCCAAGTGAAGTAGAGATGAAGTGCTGTAGGAGATGGCGAGGGGCTGGTGGCCACCAGAAAAGATTTCATGAAGGGGGCAGTGTTGAGGTGGGGCTGTGAAAGGTGGGTGGTATTTGGTACACTGGGGATACTGAGTACTGCATAAACAACACCTTGTTAGGTGGGAAAGCAAGATGTGTGTCTGGGCTGGAGCCTTGTGGAGCAGTAGATGTTAAGGTGGTTACAGATTAAAAGAGACTGTAAGAGTCAGGGACCCTGATCAAAAGCAGGAACCACGTTTGGAATCCCGGTTCAAACAAACCAACTGTAAAAGACAAAAAAAAAAATTGGGGACAATATTGGGGAAAAACAGTAAAATCATCGGGGTTATTTAAATGCTGGCTCTGTATTTAATGATATTAATAAATAATATGAACAAAATTTTAAGGGGTGATAATAGTGTTACTGTTTTTAGGAGTATTTATCTTTTAAAGAAACTTACTGAAGTGAAATTACAGGTGAAATGATAGGCTATCTGGAATTTACTTTTTTTTGTTTGTTTTTGTTTTATTTTTTATTGGAGTATAATTGATTTACAGTATCGTATTAGTTTCAGGTGTACAGCGTAGTGATTCAATATTTTTATAGATTATATTCCATTTAAAGTTACTGTAAAATCCTGGCTCTATTCCCTGTGCTGTACAACGTATCCTTGTGACTTACTTTATACATAGTAGTGTGTACCTCTTAATCCCCTCTTACTCCTCCCCCTTTCTCTGTCACTTCTGGTAACCATTAGTTTGTTATTTATATTTGTAAGTCTGTTCCTGTGGTATGGAATTTACTTTAAAATTTGCTGAGGGGAGACAGTGAGTGAGGGTATGGCTGAAATGAGATTAGCCATGTGATGAGAAGTGTCAGAGCTGGGTGATGGACAAGTAAGACCTACTTATACTATTCTCTCTACTTTTGCTAATGTTTGAAAATTTTTTATAATAAGTGGTTTATTTTTTTCTTTTTTTTAAAGCTGTTGTTTTTTTAAAGAACAACATAAAAAGATTTAGGATAGAAAAGGTGAGGTAGAGTCAGATTGTGAATACCCTGATGCCATGGCAGATAAGTGGTGTTTGCTTGGTGAGGGAGCACTCTGAGTTTTTATGAGGGACCTGATGGGGACCTGATTCTGTAGTGGTGTGACCGGGAGGCGAGAGAAGTGAGAAGTTGGAAGAATGGTGAGGAGAAATGAGCGGACAGGTAGGGGCTGAGGAGAGGCTGGATGCCGGGAGAGATGTGTGATGATCAGGGCGAGGGAGGAAGGATACACAAAGCCGGGTGGTGCTCCCAGGTGCCTGGAAGGAGGCCTTGCTGGGAAGGGGAAGGTTCCGGCAGGGCCCATGGAGGGAGGCGGTGAGTGAGAGGCAGC